TTGTCCAAGTTAAGTCTTGCAGAAGGAAGATTGTAATGTTTTGTTCAGAAAGATTATGAAAATTTCTGATAATTGGGTTGAGTGCCAGACACCACGGGTGGCACAAGGGGCATATAACAATACCTGGGTTCCTGACTCAAGCTCTGTTTCTGAGCAGGCACACGTGATGGCAATACAGGAGACTAAGCACTTGCCTATAGTTTCCATAGTAGGTGGTGTGTCAGTTCAAGCCAAGGTAAACATCTCTTATGTGAAATATGTAGGATGTTAGAGAGGTAGCTAGGAATTGTCCATGGAGAACCTACAACTGCACCATAATAGGGGTGGATGACTTGGCCCTGTCATTCTGTAGATCTAAATCCCAAATCCTCTGTTGAAGTTTGATTAAAGGTTTAGCTGGGCTGAGAGGCGATGTTGCTTGGAATGAGAGGCCGCAATATGCTAGATCAGAAGACTATGATGGGATACCTGTTTATAAGAAATGCATATTTTATGAGTTCAGTGAGTTCAGTTCCTATTAATTCTGTCCAATACAACTTTTCCCAGGCTTGGAATTTCCAGTCACCTTCAGTTCCTGAAAACCTGACAATAAGAAAGAGAACAAACAAGTGCACTGTTATTTGCTCTTACTAGATCTTTAGCATGCGAGAAGATTAACATGTAAACTTCGTAATGACAGTAAGAACACCAGTGCCCATATTCTTCATTTCCAACCAAATAAAGGCCAATGTTCATTGGAATCACAGTGAGATTTGGACCATGCCATAAGCAAAAAGGGGCAAATTGTTTTATACTTGTGCTTTAAGAAGAATCCATGGGCACAGTCTGCTAGTTATGGGTAGCTTGATGACTGCAGGTGGTATTTAACTTAAAACTATTCAGGCTAATCAAGGAGTAGGTATTGTATGGAAACAGCAAAACTTTGAAGCTGCCAAGAATTTGAAGGACTAAAAAATGTTTCAGGTCCTTTCTATGCATTGGGTAGCAAGTAATGATGCTGTGTAGGAGAGGCATGGTTTCTTAGCTTGGTGAATAGAGAATCAAGAGTCTGTAAATCCTTGTCTTTTCAAATTTATTACTTGCAAAATGAATAATGGAAAGTGGGGGCTCCTTGTTTATTATTAGAATCTGGAGACCCAACACCTACTTGGAATGAAAGAGAGAATTCCAAGCCAGATCAAAATTCTACGGCCAGATAAGCATATGTAGACTGTACCTGCACATGAGCCCCATTGAAATCAATCACATCAAATATTTATTATGGTCATAGACCAGCATAGTGAAATCAATGAGACATGCATCTGCTCATGCATAGGAATGGCTGATAGTTACTTATGACAGATGTTCAGTGGGATTTGGAGTGACTCTAAACATGTTGAGTTCATTGGCATTTCTTACTGAATAAGCATGCATTGGACTGTAGACTTACATAAGTAAAAGCCAAGAATATCCAGCACAGAATAGATTATTTTAAATTATTTGTCACAAATAGCCTAGAAACTCTCAAATAAGAAATATTTCTCTTTGACAGTAATAGTAAATGGTGGGATGTTTGCTTGCAAAGAACAGTTGTGATAGGAATCCACTTACTATATTCCCAGAAATAATGATGATAGTAATTCCAGAATTAAGCCGTAGTCCAAAAAACAAATTCAGGCAAACACTTTTTTTTATTCTTTCCAACCCAGTAAAATGTCAGAAAGAAATTACATAAAGGTGGCTAGGAATCTCTCTGTTGGTCAGCAAGATAACTCTCCAAAAACTGAGTGGAATGGCCCCAAGATTGAAAATGGGTCAGATCTGACCAATAGCCATGGGGGAAAAATATGGAACATTTTCCCCCAGACCCTCCCTATGAAAAGGAAATTTGATAGTGCTTCAGTGAGATATTTAAATGATTTTTTCTGATCCTAGGAGTAGAAACCTGTGTGTGCCTACTTACAAGCCAGTCCCACTGAATTCATTGAACTTACTCTAAAATAAATGTGTTGAAGACATGGATGTCTCTTCACATCACTGATGCTGGTTGAAGAAACTACAGAGGTCTTTATAAGGTTAAAGAGAACACGGAAACCTGGTTCATGACATTCATATACCGTTTAGATCAATGGGCCCATCTTGCTGAGTACTGTGCGCAGTAATCATCTTTCAAGCAACTTTTCAGGCAGGAACCTTTTCCAGATCTACCTAAAGATATTGGGACTAAATGTCCCATATTTGTGTTTACACTCCTCGGTTCCCAGGAGACACCAGCGTGGTGTCATGAAAGAACTGAGTATGTATCAAAGATGAAGAGAAACACTTTTTTCACTGAATGTTCTAAGGGAAAATCAGTAAGTGAAAGTAGACATATTTCATGGAAACATGCCTGTTAGGACTAATTGTCTCATTGAGGAACATGGGTTGAAAGTTCCAACCAGAAGTAAAGCCTCCTTTGGAACTCCTGGTGATTTCATGGACACATCTTCCTGGTTTCTTTGGAACAATACTAAATTAGGGGGGCCACTGCTTTCTTCTGAGATTTGCCCAGTCAAGCTCTGGGTTGTTTTGGTGGTCTCCCGTTCAATCCCAATCACCTTTGACTCTACATAGCTTTTTGGGGGCAGTCAAGGTTGATTAGGTGCTACCAGCTAGATGGACCCCAGTCAAAACTGACAGTTCTGCAGAATGCCTAGAATCCATCTTTGTCCAATCTAGTGGTCTGCAAACTCTTAACACATCTGAGTAAAGCTGCTTTTGTACAACTTAAAATACCTTTATAGAAACAGATTTCATTGTAAGCTTCTTATAATTCTAGGCTCTTGGATGACAAAAAGGAAACAAAATATGAGCAACAGAACTAGGTCACAACTTCTCACTGTCTTTCGCAATGGTAGCCAAGAGAGTGTCATGAACTGCCATTCATTTGACAGCTGCACATTTTCTCAGCAGCAGCAGCAGCAGCAGCAACATCTCTCTCTCTCTCTCTCTCTCTCTCTCACTCTCTTGGAATAACTTGATCACAAAATCTAAAAATATCAATTGATACAGTTTCTTAATTATGAAGTGTTTTCAAAATAAAGAAAACAACCACTCTAAAAGTATTTATTTCAGAAGATAATCATTACAATGTTGCAAGGCACCTGTAACAGGATAGAAGACAATTCTCTCTCCTGAAGTCTGAAGGGACAGAATCAGTGGTGTCTACAGAGTGATGGGTCAAAATTGGCAAGATGATGGATGGAGGATTGTGAAGCAAGCCTCACCTCTTTTGTAGGCGAGGCTCCGTCTGCCACCTTACTAATCTCCACCCACCCACTGGTGGATGCTGCTGGAAAGTATCATTCCCCTCCCTTTTTCTGAACTAAGTAGAAAAAACAAAGAAAAAGAATACACAAGATTATAAAAGAAGGGGAAAAAAACTTTAAAAATCAAAAACGTACAGGGAATAAACTTACAGACACATTTATACGTATAAAGTTGTACAATAAACATTTCAATGAAAGGAATAATAGATTTTTTTGATAAATACTGATCCAGTTGTTTCACACTGTCCTGCAACATTCTTTTGTTACAGAATGCCAGCTTTCATTTCAGTAGCATAATCTGATATGGATACATTATTTGGAACCCTTCCCAGCAAATTTAATTAATTTGATCAGGTAGCACATTATGCTTCTTTTTTTTTAAAACTAAGGGAAGATTTAGGTCATGCCTGAGAAAAATGAGATCATTATTAAAACCAAGTTCACTGTATTTCAATGTGCATATCCTTTAGCTAGACCTTGAAGTTAGAAGTGTAACCAAACAGGAACTCCACCCTAGCCGTATGAATTGTAGAGCAGAGTTGCTAGCTTCTGACCATCTGCCCATTCTTCCTGTTATGATAGCGCTCATGAATTTCAGTGTGATGTGTTTCACTCTTCATAATTTAACCCTTTTAATGGACAAATCCTCTCCTGTCCAAGTCAGAATTCCCCCTTGTATCCTGTTATTAGGCATCCTCTTAAATTTATTTGCTGGCTTGAATGAGCTAACAAGTTATGCACAGCAGTGGACCGTCTGTATCTAGTGCGCCCCAGTTTCCCATGCTTTCAGATACAATTCGATCGCGACCCATTGCTGCGATAAAAAAAGCAAGATTTTTTTTTTCTGGCTTTGTAGGCCACTTTCCCAAATTTATGCATTTTGTATGCAGTTTTGTAATTCTGAAATGCAACATTCATAAAAGCATGCAGTCCAAGGAATAACTATTTCGATTCACATGTTAGTCTAGGATGTGCAGGTTAAAACACTAAAAGATACAGCCCAAAATAAATGGTTTCCTACTGGTATGTATTTTCCCATTTTTTGGAGACCGTGGCTTTTTGCACATTCCGTTACTGATACATGTATATATATTTGAATTTTACAGGTTCGTCTAGTTCATTGGATCCACCATCTCTTAGTATCCAAAAGCATATGATTACTATAGCTGCAAATGATACGTTACAGATTACTTGCAGGTAAGGAAGGAGCCTCAGCATGATTATCATTGGTATTTAATGTATTTTCTTAATTTCTTCCTGTGATACATGACTTTCTTAGGGATATGAGCACACACAAGATAGATACATAAAACGAGGGATATAAATAAAGTATTTTAATGTGCCCCAAACATTTCCAAGTGTCTCTTGGCTCAAGCATTTAAAGCTTTAGCATTCAAAAGAACAAAAGCAAAGACATCCTGTTGCCTGAGTCTCCTAGAAGTTTTCAAGGACGAGATTTTATTTACTTTGACTTCTGCTGCTACGTTTAAAAGAGCAAATGTCAGTTCCTCCATCATTCCTGATTGGCACTTTCTGTCTGTCCCCAATAGATCTACCTTTATAAACCCAGATTGTAATGTGCCAGAAATAGACAGCAGGTCATTCCAGATGATTCTTTCAAGAGCTAAAAAGTCTAAAGCCAAGCTTGATTCCTGGTGGCTGCACAGATACAACTATGTAATTTTTTAGCAACATTATAGAAGTGCTCTGTTGTGGTCTTCTGAGATGTTTTCAACTTCCCAATAGACATTCCCTGGCCATCTCCCGTCCAAAACCAGGTCCAATTCTGCTTTGTCAATGCTGAACAAATACTGTCCAGACTCTGTATTTCAAGGAAAGGCAAAACCTTTAACAGAGCAATAGGAATTTTTTTCTGTTGAAAACTACAGTTCTGCTAAAGAAATTAGGCTAAAGATTTGGTCACTGGTTATCTACTTCTGTTTTAGACAGTTCATCCAATTTTGCCCCCCTCTGGCACCCAATTGTTATGGGTTGGTCAGAGTGACAGAACTGCAGTTGTGAGGCTGTTGCCACTTTAGGAAACGGGGTCCCTTATTTACCATCCTTCACTCCCAATTTGTAACGATCTGCCATCAGATTAGATGCTGATTAAGGAGCTTGTGTTCAGCAAGAGGACTATTTATATTGGATACGTCCAGGTTGGCATCATATAAGTTTAGATATCTGTGTTTACCATCTCTTGTTCTAGCACTACAGATAGTTCTCGACTTACAACCACAATAGGGACCGGAAAATTTGTCATTAAGCAGTGAGGTTATTAAGTAAGACATCATGTGACCGCACCTGATTTTACAACATTTTTTTGCGGTGGTTGTTAAATGAATCACCGCGCTCATTAAGTGAATCATGCAGTTCCCCATTAATTTGCTTGTCAGAAGCCGGCTGGGAAGGTCGCAAATGGCGATCATGTGACCCTGGGACGCTGCAACTGTTGTAAGTACATGCTGGTTGCTACGCACCTGAATTTTGATCATGTGACTGCAGGGATGCTGCGACAGTCATAAGTGCAAGGACCATTTGTAAGTCACATTTTTCAGCGCCATCATAACTTTGAACGGTCACTAAATGAATGGTTGTAAATCGAGGACTACCTGTAGTCTTCTTACTGTGTACAAAAAGGGAGGAGTCACACTTTTTGTTTTTGGAATATTGCTTAGCACATCCTTTTATGTGGACTTCCTGCGTAAATAGCACAAAAATAAGCAGCAACATCTAAGGATACTAATTGTGCTTTCTACTTTTATAGCACGCAGAAAGGTTTTTCATGAATACGGTTGCACAGAAACTGACTTGACCCAGAGAAGTTGTTTTAGTCATGGCTGATTTAACATCCTTTGGTTTTAATGGACACACACTCTAAGCCTAACTCAAACTAGACCCAATCCAATGATCCAGTTTTAAACGTTCAGATATTTTAACTAAGGAATCTAAGGCAGTTTAGACAAACTACAGTCAGGCAAGCTTAAGACAGATTTGGGCAGTTCACAGCAAGATCAGTAAAACAAACAAAAAAGATAAAACAGGAATGCCCAACATCTACACTGCACTATACTGCATGGCGCCCCCAGTGATGCTTCCACCAAACAGTTACATCCTATCCTCAGTGGGCTCTCTTCACACTTAACCCAATGCCTGACTCCAAAGACCTGTCTCTGTTCCAGGCCCGGGGTTAGGGTGGTTGTGGTGACCTATTGAGATTTGTTTTTTCCTTTGGTAGTGTGGTTGTGGCCCAGGCAATTATGTGGTTTTTAATATGTTTTTTAATTTATGTTTTAGAGTTGTTGGAGTTGAGTGGCCTTAACATATCAAATCAAATTAATCATTCAGTATCATAAAAGAGCCAACTCTTCATAGCCTTCTGGAAGGGTGGGGGCTTTCCCGATCTTGAGTGGGGGAAAAAGTTGAATAAGCTGCCAAGAAGCAATCTTTTTTATTATTTTACTGCTTTTTTATAAAGACATACCCCCAACAAATTAAACAAAAGCATATTTTACATATGGAAAACATATTATTCAGCCCAATTTTTTAAACATACCATTAAAAGTTGACCTCATGGAATAATATTGATCAGTTTTTTCACTAGACAGAAAAAGAATCAGTAATAAATAGAAAGTGAACACATACAATTGACCCCAAATATTTATTCTGGGGTCTCCCTATCTTCCCAACATCATAAAGTAAGCCTTTTTGTTGCACCCTATGCTAAGTAAACCCATAATTCTTCATGTAGTGATACATTCCAAGTTTTTGATACATAGTTGAAGAGCATTTTGATCTGTGCAATATTAAATGTAGAGATGTTAAACCAGAATGGAACAGTAATGAGACAATCCTATGCATGCCATATACAGTAAGTGTCTCCTTGCTCATTTTACATTTCCAGCATGATGAGGTTGACAACCAACCCCTTTGAACTTTATCTGAGAAGTCCCAATACACATGGAAGAATGTCCATCTTTTGTTGAATGACTCTTATCTTAAGATCATAAGAAGCATATTTTTGTATTTTTCAAACCAATAACTGCTGATATATTAATATGGAGTGTTCCAAGTCTTTATTCCTTGGAGATAGTTAATATTTGCAATACTCTTAGTTTATAAATAATACTGTGGACTAAAATCATCTAAAACACATACCAATATCAGCAATAATTCAGGAATTTTAGATGTTGCTAATGCATCTGGACCCAGTTATGAAATCAGATGTTTTAATTGTTTATACTGTCATTTTGCAATTTTCGGCAATCTAAATTTCCTTGCAGTAACTCAACATTTCTAAATCAAATTCAGTTTCCACTTCTATCAAAGTTTAAAAAAACAGCTTCAACAGAGTTAAGTTGGTCCAAGGTAATAACATTATAAGCTGCCCAATTTATCTGCCCTCAGAAGGATTTACCTAATATTCTTAAAATCAGTTTATCCCATAATGTAAACTTTTCATGGATAAAGGAATCTAAACCACCTGTGCTACAGCATCTTCCATATATATCTTGTTGCATTAAGATTAAGTTGCAGACATTTCTCCTCCTACCGACACTATTGCAATTTGGAAATGGAAGAGTTAGACACGTAGAAAATCATGCTAAGTCTGGAAAGCATGATTTGAGTTCTGACATACAGTTGTAATATTTAATGTGAGCACAACTATTTTTGAAAACAGTTAAAAACTACAGTTCATATGCATGTTCAGTGGATCACAGATACAGAAGTGAACACATTCTACTAAATATTACTGTATTTAAAGTGACTTGTGGCCTGCCTTGTGATGGCTTCATTAAGTGATAAATCTTCGATAAATGCACCTCTGTGAACCATGGCTTAACAGTGTTGATGCAGACCATTAGCAGAGGATGCCATAGGACTCAAATATCCTTAAATAGCTTACAGTTCACTTCCCCCCCCCCCAGTGGCGAGAGGACTTTGGATTGGCTTTTGCCTAACAACCAGACGAGCACTGAAAACCGAGTAGCAGTGACTGAGTGTGCCAGCGATACCTACTGTAAGATGCTCACCCTGACGGAAGCAGTAGGCAACGACACGGGGTCCTACAAGTGTTTTTACCAAGACAACCATACATCATCAAGCATTTATGTTTATGTACAAGGTAGGTTGAGATGTTGAGATAATGCACTTTTTCTGTTTAATGGAAAAATTGCCTTAATATTATGCAAATGTGAACCATATTGGATCAGAACAAAAACCCCTCTGCTCCACTGTCTTGTTCTCATCATGGCCAGCTAAATATCAATTGGAAATCCACAAATGGGCGTGAGCACAACAGTGCCTTCTCATGTGTGTTCTCCAGCAACTAGTATAGAGAAACAGACTCTTCAAGTCCCCAAAATATCTCACCTTTATAACAAATCTCCACTGACAGTTTCTTCTAAACCAATTGATCTAATTGGCTTTAAGAACCACTCAAATTGGTGGGCATTACAACAGCTTTTAAAAGCATTACCCATATTTACTTCTGGACTTCATGAAAGAGAACTTTCTTTTATTTGTTTACTTGCTTTATTTGTCTTGAATCTTCATTCAGATTTACTGGATGACCTTGGATTCTAATATGTGAGAGAGTGAAAACAATCTCCTTATGCACTTCTTCAATACCATTTCCTCCCATATCCTTTTCCAAGCTTAAAAAGCCCAACATTTTGCAATTTTTCCCAAACAGGAAGTTTTGATGACTCTTTTCTGCACCTTCTTCTGCTCTGAATTTTTTTTCTTTTTGAAGTGAAGGAATCAGTATGGCACACTGTGTTCCAAATGAAGTTGAATTATAGATTATTCCTGGCAGCCCTACATCATGAGGATAATCAGGCTGTAAGAAAATGAATTAAAAGGCCCATGGAATCTTTCATATTTGTTACCTATTAAGAGAAAAGAAACTTTGCTCTAGTTGCTGTCAATCTCCAAGCCATTTGGAATTCTTGCAGTCTTCATTGGTGATATACTCCTAAAACAGGTGCTGATTGTTTCAGCCTGCTGTTGGACTAGAGAAGTGCTGTGTAGTATAAAATGGCAAACACTAGAATTACAACCAGCTCTCTTATGCAGCACTTTCTTTCTTGTTTGGCTGAGTTATGGGTTTGGGGGAGCCACCCCAAGTCACAGTCCATCCCTGGCAGCATCAGTGTTCAATCTACTATGAGTTCAGCTGCTGGACTCCAACTTACTAGGACAGAATGCTGTAAACAAATTGCTTTAAATAAGAGATTCTGAAAATTCAATGATATTTAGAATTTCTATATTCTTCAGATTACAGATCTCCATTTGTGATGTCAGTCAGTGAGCCTGGGGCTGTATATATAACTGGAAACAAAACTGTGGTGATTCCATGCCTTGGATCTTCATCAAACCTGAATGTATCACTCCATTCAGTAAGACAAACTATCATAATTCCTTTTGCCAGTGATTTTAGCTCTTTTTTATTTTTGCGTTGACGTTACATATTTTACATTTGAGGCAGAGGGCCTGACAATAAGGCACTGTGTAAAAGAGCATAAATAGAAAGGTGAATTTAAGATGTGAAAGATAATTCTATAATTACTAGATTAGAAGTGCATAAACTGTAACCCGATGCTAGATCCCTCTTCCCCAAAGTCTTGATGTGACTTCCAAAGCTCCTCCAAAAGTGATAAGTAATTGTAAATTTTAATTTGGCAGAATGGAAACATTAACTGTATGGAGAATAATCATTGCATTTCATTTCATTACTTTTAATTCTTATTACATTTCAATTGAAATTCAATTTAGGTTTTGTCCTCACTCTACTGATCTCTTAGACTATGACCCCCTACATGCCATTCAAAGGTCAAATGGGACCCTTTAGTTCTGTACCTAATTACTAGACTATTTTAGAGAACATCAGAATTAAAGTTATTGTTGTTTTGTTATTCATATAGAAGTATCCAGAGAAAACATTTGTTCCTGATGGAAAGTCAGTTACATGGGATAATCAAAAGGGTTTCACAATTCCCACTAACATGATCAGTGATGTAGGAATGGTCTTCTGCAAAACTAAGATAGATGGTGAAAGCTATCAATCAGTGATGTACGTTGTGGTGGTTTTAGGTAAGTGATAGGCTTTGTTTATTTATTTGGGTGCTTATAAAGTAACTATTTGGGAAAATGGGAGCTTAAAACACCACAGTACACACTTTTGATTATCACCACATTGATAATCAAAAGGGGAAGATAAAGTCCCACTGAAATGGAACTTAATAACCGATAGCTGGGACCATATTATTTTCTTGGAACCACTTTGCTATTGCTTTTTTTCCAGTATGTTCTCTCTCTTTCTCTCTTTTAATGTTCCAGTCTCATTTACAGTTGTGTGATTTTCTGGAGATTTCTGACATCAATATTTATTTTTAGACTTGCTGGTTTGAGTTTTATCAATTCTAGTTAAAACATTTAACTAGTCAATTAAACATTCGTCATCAAGAAGTACTATTTCCACGTCCGTTGACAGGGCAGGGAGTGAAGTTTCAGGGTCTTTCTCCTGAGTAGCAGAACTAAACAGGGCATGTACTATTTGCATTTCGGGACAAACATACTGGCTTTTTTACTTGTTTCGGATAGCCCACTTCCCCATATCATTTGTTTATCTCACAATTTGAGAATGGGAACATTTGTATATTTTCTATATGGCTTTCAGTGGAATTTTTCTTCTGGTTTCGGCCCCCTCCATTTAGGATACAGAATTTATGACCTCAGCATGAGCCCTCTGCACCAAGTAGAGCTGGCAGCAGGAGAGAAGCTGTCCTTAAACTGTACAGCAAGGACTGAGCTGAATGTGAGAATTGAGTTTCAGTGGGACTACCCTTCAAAAAAGGTAACAGAAACCAGGGAGCTTTCTAATCAAAGAGGAATTTGCTAGACTCCAGCCCAAAGGGGCCCTGGTGTATGTGTGTGTGTGTGTTTAATGTTCCAAACTGCATTGATCAAAAGGATCAATTCTGGCTCATCCTTAATCAGTTGATGTCTGATGATTAATAGCAGCAGAGTTAGTTGGGCTGGATTATTGAGAGAGTCAGTTAGGAGGTTTCCAGGTTCAGGTCTGGACCAAGATTTGGTTCTCCTCCTTCCTCCCCTTGTTTCCTAGAGACAATTGGGTGACACAAACGTACATGAGGGCCAGGGCCATGCGAAAGAAGAGAGAGAAAACACTCTGTGGGAAGGAAAGTAGGGAGCACTGAGATGGGAGTGCTAAGCAGGGAAAAAAACTGGGGTGTGTGTGTGGGGGTGGCACATTGGGAGCATGTTCTTTATATATATATGTGTGTGTGTGTGTGTGTGTATATATATATATATATATATATATATAGTTTTTGTTAAAGATTTTTAAAATGGAGGATAAAAACTAATGCAAACTAATATAAAGTAAAAAAAGAAAGAAATCAAAGAGTAAGCTAAAAGTGCAAGAAAAGAAAAAAAGAAAAAGAAAAACAGAAAAGAAAGAAAAAAGATACAAAGAACTAGCTTCCAATCTTCTTTGCAGTAATCATAAGTACAATTATAAATTTACCTCTTACTCTATGGTTATAACATAACTCTCTTCTTTCTATAATCTATCCTATCTAATCATCAAAACCATAAATCAAAAGTTCATTTTTTAATGTTTTATGCAAAAAGTCCATAAGGGGTTTGCGCATTGGGGAGCATGTTCATGGGAGAACTAAAAGGGCAGATTGATTGGAGCCCTCCTAACCCTTGTAGCACCACTGAGTTGCAGGCAGAGAAGCATTGTTTTTCCTGGCAAGAACTGCTGGGTACAACTTTGGGGCAATAGAAGAGAAAGGGAATTCATGGGGCAGGAACCTCATGAGCAGTTGTTGAATGGCTCCCTGCCCATCTGGTGTTGAAGCCAGTGCCATGCTCTACAGAGGGGTGATGTTTATCTACTCCAGTGGCTACATCAGCTGAGTCAGATCCCAGTAGCCAAAGATGCTATGCTGATAAATGCATGCTCCCTGTTTTCTTCCTCCTGGTCTAATTGCCAGATTTTAAGTCAGTGGACAGGGACATATGCAGGGTTGTGGGTTAAAATCTGCAAGATGGCAGACACGGCATTGTGATGAAGTCCTGCTCTTTTGTGTATACATGCACAAAAGGAGTAGCCTTTGATTGTAATGCTTGCCCACCATCTTCCCCTGAACCACTCCTGTCTACGGGTGAGGGAAAGCTGAAAGGATAATGCTGAGTGAATGCCCTTTGAACTCTGTTGCAGAAAATGAATGCTGCATTCAAGGAAGCCATGACATCCTTGGGCAATGAAATGAAGAAGTTTGTGAGCACCCTCACCATCGAACACGTGACTTTAAGTGATGGGGGTCTGTACAGTTGTATGGCCTCCAGCAGCCAGATGACAAAGAGACACAAAATTAATGTCATTGTTCATGGTAAGGCTTGATTCTGGATAGTTTTGGGCTTTACAGTCATAAAATGTGAGATGGTGGGAGAAACCTTGAAAATAATTGCCCACAAAATCAAGGCAAACCGCATGAGTCAAAGTTTCTTTGGTCTTAAAAATGAATCCTATAAGCTAATAAGCTTCCTTCTTTGTGAGGATGGCCAAAAGTAAAATGAATGTATAGTCTATAAATAAGTGAAGCTTGTGTCTGAATAGATGAGGAACAGAGTGCCTTGTTAGGTCACAGCTGAATGTTTTCAGAAATGCAAGGCTGCCGTTGGAATAAGTTCTTCCATCTTTAGCATTTCTCTTCAGTTTGTTGTCTAGCTGCTATCAGAAAGGTTTGCCAACAATAGTGTAAGACAGATCCAATCAGTGTAACATCAGAGTCAGTTAAAATATATTAAAATGGATGAATGTCAATTTTAAACACATAATATCAGCAGTGAGGTGTACTGGTTACAGGGTTGGGCTAGGCCAGAGTTTCTCAACTTTATGAGCTTTAAGACGTGTGGCTGGCTGGTGAATTCTGGGAGTTGAAGTCCACACGTCATAAAGTTACTGAGGTTGAGAAACCCTGGTCTAAACTGAGTGGAGCCTGGTTTAAGTTCATCCTTAATCAGGGAACCTGCACTGGTAACCTTAGGCCAGTATCTGTCTTTCAAGCTAATATATAGTTGCTGTGGGAAAAGAATTGGAGGAGAGAGTACTACTATCTACGTAGCCTTGACTTGCTGAAGCAAAGGTGGAACAGAAATCTAACAAATAAATAATGAATAAAAATATGATCTGGAATATCCCCACTTTCCCAAATGCCTAGTCTTAACAGAAAACCACAAAGTGAGTGAGGATATTCAAAATGAGAGTCACCAGAAATGCCTTCAGCCTGGAGAACCTTCTATTGAGCCTACTTAGTTACAACTCCCATCATCTTCAGCCAGCACGGTCATGCTAGAATAAAGAAGCTAATAAATATTAGTAAGATTGGTTTTCCCCATATTTTGTGAGTATTAAATCTGGCTGTTGTCACTGTGATGACCTTGACTGATAGTTGTGTGGCTTTGATAAATGGGTTCCCACATATGCTAGCTAAGCTGCTGGGTCTTAGCTTAGCAGGAAATGAGGACCATGCTGCTCTGGTTTATAATCCAAGACATATGGCTTAGTGCAAGTGTAACCAGGCACTGTGGCTTGTTCCACAAACTGTGGCTTAGCGGGGGGTCTAAGTACCTCCATATTGGTCAATTCAGTATTTTTGGTATTTTACTATAGAAGGTGAGTAAAAATAAATATCATGAAATGATTGTTTTGAGAAGTTAAAGACTAGTTTTGGTTTCTAGAATCAACAAGCAATTTGAAAACTAGTGGTATTAATATCCATTATATTGTGAATATTATTAACCATATTGTCTATTGTTTTAAATGATTATCTTTTAAATTTTTGATAGAAAAGCCTTATCTCTTTTTGGGAAAAATGCCACTTCTGGTGGAGACAGTACTCAGAGAACCAGCTAAGGTGTCTGTGTTATTCAAAGGGTATCCACCCCCAGAAGCAAAATGGTAAGACCTAGAGAGTAAATTTTACTCTTTAGTTTTTCTCCTTTTCTGTATACATTTTACAATGACCAACAACATAGAAATATTGAAGACTTAAAGGAAAATGTTGGACTTCTGATTTCTTTGTGAGCACTGAAGAAAGGATAAGTGAAAATAAAGTTTTATGCTTTTGTTATTATTATGATGTTACTCACTGTAATATCTATATGCTTAGTGTTTAACTGGATCCTTTTTCTCTTCTATTTTTCTTTTCAAACAAATGAAAATCCCTGCTTAGCAATGAAGTTTCCTGAGAGTTGCAGACAGATAACCCCTTTTTTCCCAACTCTCACCTAATCTTAGGAATGCTGTGTAGGCAAAATTAGATTCTCTCATTGCAATGTACTGGAGTATCCAGGAGTGTGGAAAGTAGAGTGTGGTTAGATGCAAATGCACTGTTTCATCTGTTCTATCTCCACATCTTTCAAGCCACAGAATCAACTGTGTTTTGCAGGTATAAAAACGGAGAAGCTATCGTTGCAAATCGTACTGTGAAACTTGGTTACTCCTTGATGATTACTGAAATGAGTGAAAGAGATGCTGGAAATTACACTGTTGTGCTGACCAATCCCATTAACAAGGAGCGTGAGAAGCACACATTTCATCTGGTGGTAAACGGTAAAATCTTGTTGCCATTAAAAAAAAAAAGTTACTTTTTCCATAGTTGCAAATAAACTGGGGGGGAAGCTGCAGAGATTGTTCCTAAAGTATCATGTTTAGAGAACAGGTACATTTGAAAGGGCCTAGTTATCAAAAGGGTAAAGCAGGCTTAAGAGATACAGGTAGGTGGCCAAATGTAATGAAGGAAAGAGATGGAATTCAATGGGAAGAATACAGGTTTTGTATATGGAACAATCTTCTTTAGACAGTATTGGGAAGTTACTGTGAGGGTGAGAAACTTTGGGAAAGCCACTGCTAGGCCAGATCTGCCATTTATGCTTCCCCATTGCTGTTATGGGCCACTCACCATTTCTAACAGTAATTTTATTAAAATTACAAAAACAATGATAAAAAACTAATACAAAATAAACAAAATAAAAGAATAAAAAAAACAGGTGTGGAAAAGAAAAAGAAAATAGAAAAAAAAATAAGAATATAGTAAAGAAAAAGGAAAGAGATGTATAAAGAAATGAATTCCCCCTTCATCACAAGTATAAACATATCATTGTCTCTTAAAATACAACAAATGATCTGTTCTTCCCATATCCCATCCCTTATCTATAAACAAATCCTTAAAACCTCATCATTTCAGTCCTGATCAGCAAAAGTCCATTAAGGGTTACCAGAGATAACAATGTATTTATTTTAACCTTGATCAGATAAACCAACTTTATATTCCTTTCTTTTATCTTTGACAATCTTAAGCTTTAGTCCCTTCAAATAATGTCCTAGAACTTGATTTCTTTTCATTTTTTATTTGTCTCTTCTCACAAAATTCTTCAAAACTTTAACAAGCCTCTTTTGTAAGTCCAATATGGAAAATTATCCAGGTTAGTCTGTTGGTTTACTATTTGTATATCCCTTTTAATTATTAAGACATTAGCCAGTTTCTTTTGTATGTGCAGTGTAGCATCTTTTTCCATATCATTCTTGTAGTCTCTCATTTTTAAATCCATTTTCAGATTAGTCTCAGTCTGGTCCAGTAAAACTTGTTCTTCCATAACATCTTTTAAACACAGTCTATCTATAGAGGCAGACACTTTTAAAATTAACTTCTAGGTCCATTGTAATCAATATCCTTCAATATGTCCAATATTAAAATATTTTGCTCTATTCTGTATTAGTAAGTCAAATTTAAGTGTTCTTATCCTTTAATTGTAATCTTTAGTTCCTTTTAGTTCTCTCTAGTGGCCAACCTTCAAAGTCCCATCCTATCATGTTTTTAAAGAATTCAAAACAAAAGCATTTTCCCACGGGAAGGATTCTTATAATTAATTTTAATTTTTTACTTCAAATCCATCTGGACCCTTAGTCTGTTTGTAACTTTCCAAAATCAAAGTTCTAACCAACATTTTGCTGCTTATTCCAAAAAAAGAGGTCCCTTTAAGTCCTTAATCTTGTATTTAAAACTTATTTTGCTAAGGATTGAAAGAAACTCACTCGGTGTTTTCAGGCTTATCGATCCAAAGGTTCCTAATAGCTGAAAAGCAGTTAACAAGGAATTTCCAAAAGTGATTAGAAAAGGTAGTACATAAACTCAATGTCCTTTTAAAGGCGCCAACCACGGTTTGAGCAAGATGGCTATTCCCTCACCTCCCAGACCTCTAACCTGACAGAGACCACTGTCTTGCAGTCTCCTCATGAGGAGCAACTGTCTGGAGCACTTGTGGGTGATCTCAAGTCCTCTCCTTGTCCAGAGAGGAATTATGAAGAGCACTCAGTCTACTCACTAGCTCTTCATTCCGCTGCGGTCGTCAGCTCCGCTTTTAGCAGAGTCATCTTCAGTTCGCCATTTCTTCCATGGAAATCTGGCCACCCACCATTTCTAGAGTGTGGAAGTGAACAATGTTCCTTCATCCTCTCCTAGCCCATTGTAACTCCATCCCCAGCCTACATTTTTCATCCTGAGCCATCTCACTCTCTTTTGAATGTTGGTCTATTTGCTTTTCATTCCACTCTAGACATATCCCCAGCTACCCAAGTTGTAGATCTTGGCTACAATATCAAGTCACCCCTTCCCCTCCAATGGCTGGCCACTGTCCTGTACAAATGTTTCATCCAAGGCCAGTGGGTTGTTAT